TATTCTAGGATGCCCAGTAGTACCCGCATTCCCTTTTTGTAGTCCTAGGTTCCTTATTTGGGTTATTCTAGGTTGGGTTTTGGGACATTTTTTATTTTCCTTATTTGGGTTTATAAGGGGACCTACATATCAATATTTTTCAGGGTGTTTAAAGGCCAACCCAGTATTTCATGAAGGTGAAAGCTGCGCATAGCAGTGCCATCACCTACGACTCCGGTTGCTTGGTGGACGCAGGCCTTGACGAAGTGCCCTAGAAGACCAAGCGACGCCTCACAGCCAAGATTGTGACCGCAAATTGCACGGACCGGTTTTCGAACCTTGGAGTGCGCAGAACTCGACCGCGACGAGCAGGACGCCGTGCCCACGAAATGTGGCAAGTATGCGGAAGAGGTTTTAAGTTTTGGGGTTGGGGCCTGGGGTTTAGGATTCGGGTGTAGAGTGCCGAGGGTTTGTCATGCCGGCCAAAATTCTGAATCCACCCAACCCCCCCAATCCCAAACCTAAGTCCCCTAATATGGGTTATACGGTACAAGTATAGTTACCCTACTTACAACCCTACTATTATAAGTACCAATGAACCTCCAAGTGAACTGCAAGCTCTACGTCCCGTCAGCCTCCGAGGCCACATGATCCAGTCGCTTGGGGCAGAAGTGCCCGAGGTGCTTTCGGTGCGGCGCAGGGTTTAGGGTTTAGGGGTTTAGGGGTTTATTTAGGGTTTAGGGTTCATAATTATAGGCCTAAACAAACCATAACCAATACTATCGTGGGGTTCCTTATTATGCTTCTGGCTTAATGAACCTATATACCCTAAAATCCTATTCGAATGTCAAGGCCCCTACATTCGGTGAGTTTAGGGTTTCAGGGTTCAGGGATGTTTGGGGTATGCGGTGTCACAGGGAAGTTTAGGGCCTGGGGTTTCAAGCAGAGCTTTCCAGAGTGGTCCCGGAATGTACATCTTGTTTTGAAGTGCTCATTCGTTTTAGGGTTTATATGGGGCATTCAGCCTAATACCCGCCACCAAAATCCATATAGCTCCTGTGTTTCTCACAAGTACTTTACAAGTCAAGCCATCACATATTCCTGAACCAGCTAAGGCAAAATGCGGTGTTCAATGGGGTTCTCTGGGTGCCATGACTTGATCACATTGAGGATCCCGCTGTAATATGCTTTTCAACCTAAAGCCAAAACCCTAAACCCTAGAACCCCGAACCCTAAAAACAAGTAAACTCCAAACCCTAAATCCGACTTTTAAAAGCCCAAACCCCCGTAAACTAAACGCAACTGGACCTTAAATCCTAGTCCCGCACGGGGCCTGAACAATATCCAATACTCTTTTGAGGGGTCCTCTGTATAAGTATAGTATGATATACCCCAAACCCTATTCTGATTATTACGGCCCCTGTATTAGTGAGCTAGAGACGGCTCTCAACTCAAGAGACCTTGACGCTTGACTCCAGGACTCTTTGCCATACATTCCGAAATCCTCAACCCGAGACAGCAACACCCCTCCCCCCACACCCACAGACACCCACACAGGCACATATACGCGCAGAGACACAGACGCAGACAGCCCAAACAAAAAAGCCGGAGATTGAATTTCCGGGGAGGTGCCTGGTGGCGGCTGCGCGGTAATCTCAAGGAGGCAGCGATCCGTTGTATGGGTTCAGGAAGGCAGATTGTAGCCTTTAAGCCCTAAACCTTAGAGCTCTAGCGAGTCCCTTCAAGTATTGAGTTCAAGGTTTAACAAGGGATGAAGATGGAATTCAAAAGCCCTAAATCAACAAATCCTGACAGATGGTTCGCGGAATTAAACAAAGCCCCACTACATAGATTATGCAAAGCAACAGGAGCGACAATAGCAAAGCTGGCAAACCGAAAAAAAGCCGGGGGATTTCATGAGCTCACGAGCTGGCATAGTGGCGCCAGGCATGACGGATAGTGGCATCATGCGCAGCAGAGGCAACAAAAAGGAGCAAGAAAAGCCACAGATCAAGAGTCAAGAGTAGCAAGACTGACACGAAAGCTTCTCAGCACTTGGATTCGTATTATTGCCTCTAAATACCCGGATCCAGCTAGTCACGTCCAATACGACGACTACTACTACAGTACTGCTAGTACAACTGGTACTACATAGTAAGACGACGACTGCTATTAACACCAGCACTAAAGCCTCTGCTACTTACAGCTGTTGCTGGTCCTACGCCTATGCCCACTACTACCACTACTACTACTACTACTACTACTGCTGCTACTACTACTACTACGACGACTACTACTACTACTGCTACTACTACTACTACTACCACTACTGCTACTGCTCCTGCTCCTGCTCCTGCTCCTGCTGCTGCTGCTGCTGCTGCAGATGCTGCGGCTGCAAATACTATTCCAACGACCACGACTACCACTACCACTACTGGTACCACTACTAGTAGTACTTCTACTACTACCACTACCACTACTACTACCACTACCACTACCACTACCACTACCACTACCCCTACCCCTACCCCTACCCCTACCCCTACCGCTACCGCTACCGCTACCGCTACCGCTACCGCTACCGCTACCGCTACCGCTACCGCTACCGCTACCACTACCACTACCACTACCACTACCACTACCACTACCACTACCACTACCACTACCCCTACCACCACCACCACCACCACTACCACCACTACTACTGCTACTACTACTACTACTACTACTACTACTACTACTACTCCCACTCCCACTCCCACTCCCACTCCTACTCCTACTCCTACTCCTACTCCTACTCCTACTCCTACTCCTACTCCTACTCCTACTCCTACTCCTACTCCTACTCCTCCTCTTCCTCCTACTCCTACTCCTACTCCTACTCCTACTCCTACTCCTGCTCCCTCCTGCTCCTGCTCCTGCTGCTGCTGCTGCCGCTAGCTACTGCTCCTGCTCCTGCTGCTGCTGCTGCCGCTACTGCTACTGCTGCTGCTACTGCTCCTGCTACTGTGCTACTGCTAATGCTACTGTGCTACGGTGCTACTGTGCTACTGCTACTGCTACTGCTACCGCTACTGCTGGTGCAACTGCTGTTCCTACTACTACTAGTACTACTGCTGTTCCTGCTACTACTACTACTACTGCTGCTGCTGCTACTACTACTACTACTACTACTACTACTACTACCACTGCAACCACTACTACCACCACTGCCACCAGCACTGCCGCTGCCAACCCCTACTGTCCCCCTGCAATCTGCTAGTCTTTACCCTTGAACCCCTCAACTTGATCACTTGGTAATGTTCGTCTTCATGTTTATCGCTGCACCGTTTCGATACTAAACCCTTTCCCACCTTCTCACCAGGATCTCATTGTCCGCAGTGGCGTGTCGCTGGCAAGTGCTGAACTTCACCGCTGGGCCGGGGGCCCTGGTTTGCATTCGGGCGTAGGGCTTAGGGGTCAGGTCTTACAGAGTTTAGGGAAATAGAGCACACCTGTATGCCTTGACGCACGTACGTGCTACCACACACACGCACACATGAATATACACATGCATACACATACATATGTGCTGCATGCACGCCTGCTTGTAGACATGCACACCTACATACATGCACACAGGCTGATTTGCAAGCATGGATATGAGGGATACAGAGTACATATACATGTGAAACCGGGCTGGCTAGGTATATGAACACATGACCAAGTTTGCAGGAACGCAACGGCAGTAACATCCCGAGCGCTTTGTTTACGCCGCCTAGCTTCTGGAAGCAACATCTTTGGTGAAGGATCGTTAGCTATATGTTGGAACATCTCCGGACCACAGCGACAGCAAACACACACCATCATCAGGGTCATGTCCATAAGGACCATCGCTATCGTCATCATGGTCGCCACCATGGTCGCCACCGTGATCTTTATCATGATCGTCATCACTATCGTCATCTTCATCGTCATCATCATCGTCATCGTCACCGACATCGTCATCAACATCATCATCATCATCATCACCATCATCACCATCATCATCATCACCATCATCATCATCATCACCATCAGCGCCGTCACTATCACCGGCATCCCCAGCAGCATCCCCATCCGCATCAGCCAAAAGATTGCCGTCAGCCTCGTCATCATCATCATCGTTATGCCCTAAACCATAAACTTTAAACCCCTAAATCCCTAAACCCTAAGCCATAAACTTCAAACCCCTAAATCCCTAAACCCTAAACCTCGTGACATATCCCGGGCTGGCTGAAAACGGCCGGAACTTCAAGGCCTTTATAGTAACAGCCTAAAAGTTGGAGCACTATTTGGCCTTAATCCGGTTTCCAACTTTATGGTTTAGGGTTACTGTAAACCCAATCCCGAGGCCTGGCTGGAGTACGAAGCCCTCCAAGCTGAGACTTTTCGGGCTTGGGGCGGTTTAGGGTTCAGGCTTCGGGGTTTAGGGGTTTAGGGGTTTAGGGCCTAGGGTTTAGGGGTTTAGGGGTTTAGGGCCTAGGGTTTTGGGCTTAGGGGTTTAGGGCCTAGGGTTTTGGGTTTAAGGGTTCAGGGTCGAGGTTTTGAGATTTCGGGTTTAGGGTTTGGACTCTTAGCTGAGACTGTCAAGTAAGGCGCCTGGCGAAGTCTTCCAGCAGAAGGCCTGGTCTTCAAGCTTTAGGGGTTGTATGATGCTATGTTGTGTTATGCTATATAATGTGGCATCATTATTGTGTATTTCAGCAGTTTTTTGTTGTCGTACAGCAAATCATATATATATATATATACACACAGATATAGATAGATAGATAGATAGACAGATGATAGATAGATATCTTATAGTATGAATTTGTGGCTGCAGCGGCGTAAGAACGCAGACGCCGAAGTTTCCGGCGTTTGAGAAGCAGGCCTTGCGGAAGATGGACGTCCTGCAAAGACAGGCTGCTTCTTTAATAATTTTCCTGCCGGATGGATGTTGATGCCGCAGGTCGTGAACAGGCTCTAAAACGGCCAGTGGACCGTATCTCTTTTGTGCGCACATGGCAACCAGTGCCCCACTCCTGGGAAAGCAGGGCAAGGCCGCCCACAGCAAGGCCTCGATCTTCTACGGCGCAGATGAGTATCTTGAGGAGCTGAGTACGTATGCTGCAGCTGTTGGTAGTAGCATTGCTATTAGTACTGTGAGTATTTTGAGTATTTTTGAGTGTTTCGAGGACCTCGGCATCATGCTGTTTAACCACCCCCCCCCCCAAAAAAAAAAGTTTTGAGGAGCTGAAGAAGAAGTACGAACACGACCACGAAATTGCAGCCTTGAAGAATGCTCTTCCAGGCGAGGGTGATCCCAATGCGGCTGGTGTTGCCCAGAGCAACGACAAGATGCTCTCCGTTCAGAAGAACAATGAGAACAGGAGCCTGAAGACCAATCGGCTCTTCCCGACTCCGAACAAGCCAGACCCAATGCCGCAGAACTTGGCATTCCTCTTCACCAAGATCACGCCGGACCGGGGTGCTGCGGGTGGGTTGGTTCCGTGTTCATGAAGGGATGCTATCGTACAAAAAGCTGTTGTGTTCGTGCCCAAAACCTCTGTCGCAGGAACAGATGATCTACATGCACTTTGTCATAGTTGGGTAGCATTTTATATTTTATGGGTACTTGAATCATGTAAGGAATAGAAATTGCCACGTTTAATACTATCCCAACCATCATAGGTGGAATGTACTTACCGCAATTTTCTGCACGCAAGTGCTGATGGTGATCGGCTACTGTGCAGCCTTGGCTACCTTTCCGGACTACTGGTGGACCTGCACACTCTGCTTCGGCATCCCGTTCTCGTACATCGCCATCCAGAACATCTACATTGATCACGATGTGATGCATGGTGCCACTTTCCCGGTTTACGAGTGGCAGCGCTTCTTGACTCATCCATTTGCGGATTTTTTCAGCTTGCCGTGGGAGGAATTCGTCCTCGAGCACAACAGGCATCATGCCTCAACTGTGGACTTGCTGATCCAGGGTGAGTTCGGCTGGGACCCCGAGGAGTTCCACTATGCCCTGCAGCAGTGGGCTGGGCCATGGGGCTCGAACTGGTACAAGTACCTGCTCACCGTCCCGTTCATCCCGGTGATCCATTTCTTCGGCTTGAACGACACCGGCTCGTTGTTCGCCTTGGAATGGTGGATGCACTTCCCCGATGAAGGTGCGGGTGGAAAGTGCAACAAGGAGCTTCCCGGCTTAAACAGGTTTGTGTGGCCCAGCCAGAATGGAGTAAACCTACCATGCATCTGACTTCTGTGCTAGCACACTTCGTGCTGAGGTTCTGGAGCAAGTGGATTCCTCGCCGCATCAAGCACAATGCGTTCGTGCTCGGCCTGTGGACCTGCGTGTGGCTGTTGGGTACCTACCCTTTGGGACGTCCCCTCAGCGAGGGCTGGCGTTTCATGTTTACGGTGTCCTTCTTCGCCCGTGTCGGCTACTCGGCGGCCTGGATGTTTATCACTAACTTCACACATAGCTTGCCTTGGAACGAGTTCCTGGCACAAGATCCGGGCCGTACCTGGCCGGTGCTTCACAACGTGATGGCCATGGTTTTGGGTGGAAAGCACCGCTGGAACGAGATGCTCTTCCACGATGCGGCTCGCTTGTATTTGTGACTACAATTGATCGCAGAGTGTAGGGACACGAGCCTTAATTATCAAGATGTGTTGCTGAATGTAATTAAACATAGATCGTCCAGGTGCATCATGAGTTGGACGGGGACGCTCTCGCATGTTTGGTCGGGGGCATGCACACTGATGCGTCTCGCAAGGGCGCTGGCGCGCGAGACGGCTGGTGTTGGGACTGTCGTCAGGCGGTGGTTCCGAGTGTGGATCATGTGCTTTGGTCCTGCGCGGGGCATGCTGATCTTCGTAGGGTTCCTCGTCCGCCGGGCGAGCTAGCTGCTAGGCTAGGTTGGGACGGTTCGCTAGCTACCGATGCTCAGCAAATCAAAATCGTGAAAGAGCGCTTGCATGTTATGGGCTCGATTCGCCGCAGAGAGTGGCAGAATAGAGGACAGCGAGACGGCTGGCGCAAGGCGCCTGCTGCCCGAGGGGTTTCGTAGCGGACCTGTCGGTCCTTTTGGGTTTAGGTCCTTTCCCCCCCCCTGCCTTTCCCTTTTGCTGCTAACCCGCGTCAGGTTGCAGCAGTCCAAGCGCCTAAAATCCAGGTGCATCATGCTTTCCCCAATGCGGTCGGCACGCTGAGCCAGCGTGGCCGCTTCCACGGCTGGGAGAAGGCACGCGATAACCCAAACCCTAAACGGCCCTAACCCGCAACCACTGAACCGGTACTGTATGGGATTTTTTGACCACAGGAAACCGTGTAGAAAGCATGAAGGGTGCACGATAAACCTCAAGCACTTCCATAAAGCCTCGTAAAAGTTTTTTATAGGGACCCTTATACGAAGTATGAAGCCAGGTGCACGATGCTGCGGCCGAAGTCCTTCACCGAGGCCTTAGACGGTAGAGCTCAACGTCGGTACTATAAACCGTAAGGTTAAGGATTTGGGGACTAGGTTGCTACGCAGGGTCCTTTCGAGGGGTGCCGTAAGGCTACTACAATTGGTACTGTAAGGGTTTCATGAATGGTACCAACCGGTACCCGTCGTCGATACTGTAGGGGTATAACACGGATTGGTAGAGGGCGTACTTAAAGGAGATCTATGAGGGTTTAGGGCTGTCAGGGTGTAGGGATCCTTCTAGGGCTCCTTCAAGAGTTCCTCATACCTTCGGCGTAGGACAAAGGATTTTTGGGGCATAGGAGATATAGGGCCTAAACCCTAAACCCTAAATGTGCAGGGTCACCTCAGAGGAGGAAACGAGTGGACGTGAGCCTTGCGAGGTGATCGTGAGTTTCAGGAAGGAACGGACCTTTGGTGCAGGACTTCTAGTTCGAAACCCTAAATCCTAAGCCCTAACATCATGTGGAGGCCTGTGGAAGCCCAATGGCGACGAGGAGACCCAGATGCAGAAGACCCAGTGCCCAGGAGGAGGATCAGGACATTTTTTGTTTAAGCCTCGTATTAACTGTGGAATATCATGTGTGTATATGTATATATATATATATATATATATATATATCTTTGGAAGGGGACTGGGGTTTGGGGTTTCCAGTCAAGTTTCGAGCTTCAGTGTAGTTGAACAGTTCGTTGTAGCGCTTCGTAGGCCGCACAACCCAACTAGTTTTGGGGGTCTTGAAAGACAGCTAGGAGGTGCGGAACGTAGCTTTCCCAACATATTCCAAAATAGACATGGCTTAGGGTTTAGGGTTTAGGGCTTAGGGTGAGGACGGAACCCAGCAGTTCTGGCACTTTCCAGGGGTGGTGGGTTTCGGGATTTGTTCCTTGCTCTGCTGAACGGTTGCTGCCGAGCCTTTGCTGACACAAGCAACTAAGGAAGAAGCGCTCCTTGATGATGAAGCAGGGCAAGTGAGCCTTGTCTTCTGACCCTGTTTTTCCAGCCTTGCGGAAAGCCGCGAGAGCTGTGTACAGAGTGGGTCCATGACAGGATGCCCTGGGACTCTTTGTTTCTTGTGAGATTTGTTTCCATGAATCCCATTACTTTCCTTGCATGACGTGAGCGCCCCGCCTGGGCCAGCATGTCGCGTCCCGGGCTCAGCACTTAAGGTGTGAAGCTTACCATGCTTGGGAGAAACAATGGCCGATCATTTCCACAGCTGCTGCTGCTCTCATGTTCGAAGCCTGCACGCTTGCATCGCGATGGCATGTAGCCTGTGCACCTGGGTTGAGCATGTTGTGCGATAGCTGACGAACGGTTGGCTAGATGATGATGAAGTCGTCGTCGGTCGTATGTAGGCCTACTCAGCATTGCGATCCTTGTTCGTATCAGCACCATTACCGCCACATTCGGCGCATTCATCGGTGCAATGCCATTTGCTTTCGCTTGCTGCTGCCAGCACTGTGGGTGCGCTTAGTCTGGACATTCGTTTCCTCGTTGAGACTCTTAGGATCATTGTCACATTGTCATTGTTTCCAGGACGACAAGGACAGACGACACCTATATCAGAGAAGGTAATTTGCGGTAGTCGCTTCTGGCTTTGACTTGAGTCGTCGTGATCATGATGACACCGAGAATCATTGGAATTATGTTCAGCTCCCGAAATGTCAACTCCAGACCTAAAGCCTAAACCTAAACCCCTCGTCACACGGCGACACACCTAGCTTCCTGAGTAGTGCAAAACAGAATTTAGGAAAAGTGTATCCGTATCATAATGGGGCTACTCAGGAACCCTAAACCCTAAACGCTTATAGTACCCTTACAGATCCCTTTAAAGGAACCCTTGTGATCCCGTTCAAAGGAACCCTAAAGCCCCTAAAGGGCGACGCTCTCTGCCAGGGGCGGCCTCGAGTGTTGACCTCGGGCAAGGGCCAGGGGCGCTGCCAGCTTGTCCTGAGACTAGGACCTACAGTAAACTCCATAAAGTTGGAAACCGGATTAAGGCCAAATGGTGCTGGGATTCTCTATACATTACTCTTAAGGATTGAGGCTATTGGGTTTCCAACTTTTGGGCTTCTACTGTAGGGTAGGCCCTTATTCTCTTTCTTTTGGGGTTCAGGTTCCCTTTGTAAGCCCGTTTAAACCAAGAAGGTCACCCTGTTTGTTCCTAGGCTACTCTTGGATAGGAGAGGTTCACCTTGTTTTGCAGAGGGTCTGAGGTCTAGGGCTGAGGGTTTAGGGTTGAGGGGTTAGGTTTAGGGGTGAGCGTTTAGGGTTGAGAGTTCTGTGGTGAGGGTTTAGGGTTTCGGGTTGAGGGTTTAGAGTTTAGGGGTGAAGGTTAGGGGCGTGGCGCTGGATGAGTTTGATACTGTGGCTTTGATATTCTGCATGCGGTGCTGACTTTGCCTTCTTCTTGTAGGGGTAGGGACGAGGGGCTGGACGATGATATGCAGGGTAGCAGCAACTGCGAGATTGATGAACCAAGGGCCCAGAATTTGCATATGCGTCCGTTACATGTAGGGGGGTTTCTTACTTACGGGTTCGTTGTAGTAAGGATCATACGACTTAGGTCCCCACTTTGTGAAAGTTTCAAAAGCCAAGAGTGAACCCAGACCCACTCGCTGTGACTCCACCTAGGCGCAGGGCACCCTGGCAGGGTTTAGGGTTGAGGGTTTAGGGTTTAGGGTTTCTTCGACATTGCAGGTCCGATTTCTGCCTACATGTATAACACACTTTTACAGTGCCCTCGTAGAGCGCCTCTATGGAAACCAAACAGGCCCAGCATAGCAACCCTAAAGCCTGCAAGATAAGGATCCTGTCATTCAGATTGTTTTTGCTGTTGGAAGCTCCCTTATGGGACATCATACCTGTGTTCGCCAAAGCCTCCTCTATTTGCTCAGGCCTCGTTACTACGCCTGAACGCAACATGCATCAAAGCTGTCGGGCATCCAAGCATTGCACCACTTCTTGCTCCTTAACAACCCCAGGCCCTACGCAATGCCGCCCGAGACGCCCACACCCCTCCAACCACGTGGATGAGTCAGGAAATAGCAGCATCTCAATCCCGTAAGCTCAAAGCATAAACCCTCATACACTAAAGCCCTCAATCCCCAACACTGCACCTTAAACTGTAAACCCTAAACCTCAGGAATTATGAAACCAGATTATACGATGAACTCCGGAAACCCCATGAAACATTGAGATGGCAGGCTTGGATAAACCCTAAACCCTAAACCTTAAGCCTTTAGGGCTTTCGGAGCTGATCTGCAGAAACGAAGAGGAGCTTTCAGAAAAAAGAAAAAACCTTAAGCCTTTCACCTTCAGCCAGGTGCATTCGCATGCCGATCCAGCCTAGCGGCTGGGTCACCGCTGACGCCTCGAGGGCAGGGGGACCACAGTCCCAGCCTCGGCAGGAAAGCGGTTCAGGGTTTAGGGTTGAGGGTTTGGGGTTTAGGGTTGAGGGTCTAGGGTTGAGGGTTTAGGGTTCAGGGTTGAGGGTTCAGGGTTTGGGGTTCAGGATTTAGATTTACAGGTCGAGTTTAGAGTTTAGGGTTTTTCACAGGGGCGCTTGCAGGGTTCCGTAAGGGTGTTGCAGGGCTTGCAAGGTTACAACGGCACCCATGTAGTACCTGAAGTACCTGGTTATGTAAGAACACCTTCAAGGCCAAAGTATATACTTTGGGACATGAACCCCTAGAGAGACATGAAAAGTTGTAATTGTAATAGCATTCTTTAGGGTTCAATAGCATATTCTGCTGTGCAAACATGCGAGAAGGTGTAGGCTATCTTTGAAGCCTCGGCGTTCCCCCGAGCCGACCCACTTCAAGCTGGTCGTGAGCTCCTGCTAATACGGTCGAAAGTCGTCGACAATGATAATCCTCAGCCTGCGACCCTACACCGAATAATGCTTTAGCAAGCGAGCCGGCAGATCCGGCGCCTGACATGCAAGACGTCTATGCAGCTGTGATGCTGGTACCCGACGCGGTAGCCGCTGTGCTTCGTGGGACATCCAGCAAGACTTTGGCAAGAAGCTTGCACGATCTTAGCAAGAAGCTCAGTTCGGATTGGGACCTCATTGGCCAGCTGCACGAGGCATTGCAGGAGTCCAGGCAGGCAGCCAAAGCAGCTCTCCGTCATGCGCTCCGAGTTTGGGCTCGGGTTCGGCAAGATGCCTCGCACAGCGGCATCACTATGTCGGACGACGGTCAGAGGAAATACGGCGACCTGGAGGACACCATGTTGCGGAGGGCGTACATGCACGAAGATGCAGTGACATACGGACACACATATTTCTTCGCAAATGTATCCACACGTTGAGCGATCGTGCGGACGGTATAGCCTCGAGATGCTTCGGGCAGAAGTTAATTACACCCCAAACACTAGAAACTCAAAGCCTTGTACCCTAAAGCGCCAAACCCTAAACCCTAGATTTGGCGTAACACCTAGAGAAGCCAGAAACCCTCGAAGGAACTCTAAACCCAAAGCTCGAAGCCTAGTTCGAACTCCAAAATACCCTATTCAGGAACCCTATACTTGGTTCATGGGTAGTTATAAGCGGGGTTATAAGTCCCCTAATACAGGTCATAATCATAGTTATCCTACTTATAGCCATACTTATAACTACCCATGAACCTCCAAGTAACCTGTGCATGCCGTGGCATCATTCCCTCTGCAGAAAGTTCCGAGCTCCAACAACTGCCTTTCCCCACCATCTTCTGCGGTAAGTTTTCCTTTAAAGGGGTCTATAAAGGGTTACGAAAACGGCTAAGGCCTACTATAAGGGTTCTATATTAGGGGCCTAAATAACTACCATCTTCCAGTTTCTGGGTTGTTGTGATGGATTTAAGGCATGGTTCTTTTGGGGTTCCGTGTTGGGTTTCTACATCAGCTCGATAATGGTTCCATAAGGCTGCGGCATTGGGGTTCTTTACATAAAAGGGGCTTATTAGGGTTCAGCATCAGGGTCCGGAAAACTAGTGGTGTACCGACGACTCGTGAGCAACTTGTTGTCTTGTGCTGCCACCGCACACTCTGCACGGCGAGGAATGGCCGAAATATTTTCTACCCTAACCTACCAAACCCTACTTTTTTGTAGGTTCATATTATAAACTCTAACACGGAATTTATAGGGACCCTGCAAAAAAAGTAGGTCCTCGTAGGTTCAGGTGCACGTTAAGCGGTTTAGGCTGTCCGGGGACCTCCCCCCCTAATAGTCTAAGTCCACAGATGGGAGTTGCCGAAAATTGGGGGTACCTTTAAAGGGATCTATAAGGGGTCCTTTAAGGGTTCCTATAAGGGATCTATAAAGCTTAGGGTTTAGGGTTTGGGAGTTTCCGAAAGTTTGGGTACCTTATTTTGGGGTCCATATAAGAAGGATCCTACTATTTAGGGTACATTATTGGGGTCCCCTACTTTTTCAAACTCCCAGATCTTAGCCACTGAGCCTGCCCTAAACGCTACATACCGTAAACACTGAACCCCTAAACCTCTAAATCCCCTGAACCCTAATTTACAGGATTTCCCAAATCCGAAACCCAAACCCTAAACCCACATCCTGAACCCTAAACCCTGAACCCTAAACCCTAAACCCTAAACTTAACCCTGAACCCTGAGGTATCTGATTCGCACACATGCCCCACAGTGGCGGGCAGGAAGCTGAGAAGTCCAGAGTTGGGTTTGTCTTTCCGATTCGAGTTTCGGCTTTAGGGTTTACGTTTTAGGGTTTAGGGTTTGGGGTGTAGTGTTTCGGGTTTAGGGTTTTGGCTTTAGGGTTTAGGGTTTGGGGTTAGGGTTTGGGGTTTAGTGTTGAGGGTTTAGGGTCCGTCCGTCCGTCCGTTTGTTTGTCTGTACCTATGTAGTGACGTATGAAAGCACACCTCCATACATTCCTCTGCATGAGGGCATACCTACCTGCGAACACGCACGCATGAATAAATACATACGAACATGTATCTGCACATGCATGCAGATTTATG